ATGTTAAATGAAGATAAAGTACTACAGAAGAAATTCCCTGGGAAGGATGTGTACCAAACGTGTCTGTGAGATGCTTCACCTTAATGCAGATGGGTTATGTTTAAAATGTGGCAATTAACCTCCATCCACTGTGGTTGATAGCTTCTCTTTTCACTTCTGTTTTGAAGTCCACCATCTGTCCTGACTGATTACAGCTTTCAGAATATTAGGTGATCACCTTGCACTTAGCCAGGGGTAAAATAGGATGTTATCTGTATTTTCAGTTGTATTTTCTCTCTGAGCAAACATTTTTTAGAAGATTCTTTTTATTGGTGAAGTGGCTTCTGCTGTTCCATTAAATTGCCATGCAGTGGCTGTGCAAAACTCAGAAAACACAGCTCATTTTGGCCTCCACAGGTGATGTGCAGTCCTGTTGTGTTGGCCATTTACCCATTTGGGTTTCTTTTGGCAACCAATTGTACATCTGTGTAACAGCACCAGAAAGACACCTGCAATTCCTGTTTTCACCCTGAATGCTTTGGAGTAGATTGTCTTCCTTCTGAGATGAGCTAAAGTGCAAAAGATTCCAAAATGCTGATGCTAAGTAGTCCATAGTTTTGTTTGCATTTTGTGAGGGTTTTTTATGAGTGTAATTTTCTCTGTGGCTTCTCTGTCGGTTTATTCAGTTGGTGAAAAATCAAAATAGGTCTCAAGTTATTTTGACTGTGGCTGGGAAAAGATGCCATGTGGCCATCCCATGTAGTATGTATTTGCTCAGACTTCAGGTACACTGTAAAAATATGAACAAAGACTAAATTTATATAGTAATGATTTGTTTTGCACTTGCCCTCATGGGGTCTTTTTATTTTTCTTGGATAGGACTAATTGTAGGGCCAGGAGTCAGGGCTTCTTTATACTGTTGTGAGCTCTGCATCAACTCAAAGGAGCAATTTCTGTCCCCTTTATACACGACAAGAACAGAGGCAATACTGTGCAGCACAATCTGAGTCAATGGAGAGTCAGACCCAGTGAAAAGCCAGGTGAGCACAATGTTCCCAGCAGTGAGTTCAGACAAACTAGCATGCTCCTGTCTTCTCAGGACTTAATTTGATGCTGTGGCTATTATCCCCTGGTTCTTCCCTAACCAGAGGGGTTATGATGAAGCTGAGTTAGCTGTCTTCTGACCCACAGAAGAGTGAAGCAAGGGGAGCATGCATGGTGACTTCAGCGGGCTTTAGCCAAGACTCTTGGATTTCTCAGGGTGATAAATACGTGAGATACAATAGCTTTATTTTTAACCTCTGAGATAAGCCCTCAAGCTACAGTTTTCTCATTCTTTTCCCACACTCCTGGACAAAATGCTGCATGGAAATGAAATCCTGTTATTTATTGGGCTGACAGCTTCACTGGGCTGGGTGCATTCACAGTAGCATGCTCAGGGCTGCATCTGCAGCGTGGTAATTTGTTGAAGGAGCACAGAGGGCAGAGTCTCATAACTCCATTAAACAATTACTGCAGATAACACGTTACTAACCCTTCTTAAAATTTACCCCAAAGGGGTTATATACAAGTAATGATTAAAACTGACCTAAATCATAATTTAATTAAAAGAAATTAAAGTGAAAACTGAAAATGTTCAGCAACTTCAGGCCACCACGTTAATGATTCACTTTAATGTGTTTGTAGTTCTGTAGTAATGGCCTTTGAGTGTATGTGCTTCTTGGTTTATGTCTGATATCATTTTACTGCTGGAATATTTTGAAAATGGTTGCAGGCTGTATGATCTCAAGTGCCTATATGGATGTACATGTGCTTTCTTCTCACATTTTAGGGGTTTCAGTGAAGCCAGCATATCTACTTGTGTGCAGAATGCAGATCAAGGCCTATATTTTTCAATTCCTCATTAATTAGTTTCTCTGCTATACAATAAGGACCTTCATGTCATTAGTATGATTACCATGGCAGTATTTCTGGGCTGTAAAAAAGATAGTTCAAAACTGGCATTCTTGTCTGACAGCCCTTGGTTGTACTTGCATTTGTTAATACAAGAAAGAAGCACCAGTGGAGAGATGCCAAAGTCACTGGCCATGCAGAAAAGCAGAAGATGCTCCTGGACTTGTGTGGCAGAGCCATTCAGAGATGTCATAGGATTAAACCTGGTGTCCCAGGATGTGGCACCTGCACAAATATGGATGAAAGTCTCAGGTGTTGGCCATTTGTCAAGTTTATTTCTACCCCAGGAAGGAGGAGGAGGTTTGAAGAAACATTATTCTAAACACTAACACCCTATGGATGATATGAATAAAGGTTTCTCAGTAGCAAAAACAATTTTGTTATTAATAGCATCTGTATTCATTAGTCGGACTTGATGATCCTTGTGGATCCTTTCCAGATCAGGATATTCTGTGATTCCTTGTTGGAGGGGTAGAAATGGACTGGTTTGTACTGCTTATGCAGAATTTCTTCCTTTAAATACAAATATACAGTGTCTGCAATTCTGTTTTCTTCTCAAAAACGTCTTTTTGCACCCGTTTTTGAGGCACTTTAGCCTAATCTCTAAGTTGTTGCCAGCTGCTTGTGAAGAAAGGTGCTGCTGAAGAGGAGTAGGTGTGCAAGCAGACCTAGCATTTCCTCAGCTCCGAAATGGGAAGAGCCAAGAGGCCAGCAGGCTATTAATATTTTTGACTTGCCATGTCTGTCATAAGAACAGTGGAAGATGTAAGAAGCCACATGTTTCCAGGCTCTTGCAGAGAAAATGTGAAGAATACTAAAACCTGCTCCTAGGGTTTGTTCCCTGACCTTTCATCCAGATCTTGTCCCAGCCCTCTCCTGTCTGATGGCTGGCTTATTATTTATTATATTATCTGCCTGATTTGGGGGCTGCCACTGCAGCTGGCACCTCACTGGGCATGCTAAATGCCTCTCCATGACAGAAAGTGGGCAGGAATTCTTGGAGAATCCTCTTTTCTGGTGGAGTTAAAATTGTCTCTGCCAGCTTGCTCAGCATGTTGATTGATCCTTGTTTAGCTTCTTTTCTACCAAATATATCTTTTGGGGAAGGGGAATGGATTTTCTTGATGACCTCAAAGAAAATGCCATGGGAAGACAGCAAGAACCTATCATGCACTGGTCAATTGGCAAGAGAAAGCAGAATATATGGACAGAAGAAGGTATTTTAGTGTCTGATGTGCTTGTTTTGTTTGTACAGTACAACTGTAATCCTCAAATTTCTATTTTTTTAGAACTGACTGTCATGCCAGAGGGAAAGAAACAGATGTTCCCATTTGTCTTGTGATGTGGCTCAAAATCATTTACATTTTCTGGCCTAAAATGACACGACATGTCATTTGCCACTTTTTGTATCTCCTTTGGAGTGAGTGACAGATTGCTGTTCAATTACCGCTGAAATAGAAAAGCAAATATTGTGAGGACATCTTTCACCTAAAGGAAATGCAATCACTGATTGCTGCAGTAGTGGGAAGAGAAGGATGGCAGATACTGTAGCAGCCATCCAGTGGAAAAGACATTTTTATTATAAATAATGTCATGCGGAAGATTCAAGGAAAATGTACTGGTTCTGGCTTTTCTGCCTGGAGAAAAGGAGAGCCAGGGGTGAATAAAAATATGGTGAAAAAATTGTCTCACTACTCTTGTAAAATATATTTCCAGCTCTTTGCCTTGAGGACGTGCTCCTTAAAGTCTTTCCATTTGCTCTGCACCCAGTTCCAGTGGAGAGAAATAAATGCAGAAAGACTCTTCATCAGTCAAAGGCACTCAGTGAGAGACTCATTAGAATGTTTTTTTAAAAGTGGAAAAACCTGTTTGTCAAAGACTTTGGGATTAGACACTTTTCCTCTCTATAGTTTGCTTTCTTGTCAGTGTATTCATGCCCTGCTTCCTCCCTTTCTCACAAGATAAATAGATACTCCAGGCCAAGCAGAGTTTAACCATTCCTTCTGAAAGTCATTTAATTGATCATAACTTGTACAGTCTTAATTTTTAGCATTTCCTTTTCCCTATTTCTGCCAAACTCACTTGCCAGGCACAACACTTATTGTCAGTATACTGATCAAGATGAATTTTCATGCCATGATCCAGTCAGTCAATTGGATTGGGTTAGAGTGCAAGAGGTGAAGTTTCTGTTTAAGGTCTTTTACATTTTTCTTTCTAAAGGAACAAAATGAAGTGAAAAAATATTGAGAATCCTGTAATTTATGTTACAATATATAGTTATTATTATTATTATTATTATTATTATTATTATTATTATTATTATTATTATTATTATTATTATTTAGGATTAAGAAAATGTGGTTTATCTGATAATCTGCTGAATCAGATGATCATTTAAACTTTCTCTTGTAGTTTAAGTTTTCTCTGCATGACTTAAGCAGGAGATATAGTTCCTTAGCAATAAATATGAATTAACCTGGTTTTAGTCAAATAAGCTGTGGTTATAGTCATGAGAATGGATGTAGAAACAAGTATCATCTGGAAATTGATTTTTAAATTGTGAATGCAGTAAGGTAATGGCTAGAATTAATTTCAGTGATACATCAGTAGTTACATATGTGCCTAACCTGCTTTATCTGATTGTAAAGTTCTTTCTGCATAGTGTGAAACATGTTACACTTGACCATGACTGAATCCTTGAAGCTTTGGCACCACTCATTTTACAGTGATGCAATAACCTCTTTTGGTCTGACCTATTGGTAAAGATTTTTCCAGTGCTGCTGCACTGCTGTGTTACAGGATTGTCTTTATTTATGAATTGCTTGCTACATAGCTTGATGGCACCAAGCCTGTGTTTTAAGAGAAAAGGGTGGGAGAGAGAAAAGTTCAGCTAACTTTCTGTTTTGCATGCGGCCTTATTGTGTGTGGACAGGCAGAATGGTGACTTTGAAAACAGTAACTTTTGCTTTCAAGTCAGGGAAAGAAAAACCCTGCAGGTTTTGTCACACCATTTAGGTCAACCACATAACACAATTTTTCACAAAATAGAGCTCACTGTTGTGCTAGGAAATCACTATGGCAAGTCATCCATTAAGGTTAGAATTCATACTAAGAGTTGCCAGGAGGGCAGGAAGCACAAGTCCCCACTGATGGCCATCAGCCACACCCTGCCCACCTCTCTTCTCTCAGGTGAGGGGTTTCAAGTTCCTGCTTCATCTCCTCTCCTCCTGAGAGCAGCTCTTGCAGGGCAAGCCTTGGAAATAATTCTCCACTAGTCCCATCTGCTGGATGCCAGGAAGAATTGCCTGCTGGAAAGAGGGAAAGCATCATACCTCAGCCTTTCAATATCAGCTGAGGTGCAGTGTGCCACCAGACATACATCTGCCTGCGGAAAATACGTGCTCTCTCTGTTTTCCTTCCATCCACCTAAGCACATTTGGACCACTGCTATTCCCATCACCAGGCTCCATGTGTTAAGAAAAGCAAGGTGGCCAACACAGGGAACTTTAGCTGTGTTGCTTTAGAGAAGCTGCAATCAGAAAACCCAGCAGCCAGCAAAGATCACAGAAAAAAAAAAAAAAAAATATGTGTATCATTATCCAGACATTTCCAGGCTTGGGAATGAATTTCCCCTCTCACAATGTATATGCAATCAGCTTTTCAATTACCTCATTAACGCTGGTGCTCAGCTGTTCTTTTGGTGGGAAGGGAGCATGGCCATGGCATCCAATCCTGCATGCAGCTCTGCAGCCTTTCATGTTATTATGAAGCTAAAAGAGCCTTTCCCATCCCTGAAAATAAAGAATTCCTGATATATTTCTAGTCAGGGTGAGCAAAGTTTAAGAGATCCATAGATATTTTTCAGGATATTACCCATTCTCAGTGGTTATTTGCTGTTTGGTACCTGCCTTCCAAAAAAGAGCTGGAGGGTAGAAAATGGATAATGTAGTAGTGGAGAAAATTGGGAATGAATGTGAATGTAAAAAGGGGAAAATTCATTCAGTCCTAGCAGTCTTACTTTGGTTTGATGTGCTGTCTTCATTACAGCCATTTGTGAGGAATTTTTATACTTTATGTTAAGTGGTATTGTGGCTTTTGCTTTAAAATTCAGTTCAGTTGATTCTTACCTCCCATAGGCATTGAAATAAGTTCTGCAGGTCACAAAGCAGCCACTTCAAGGATTCTGTTGAAATAGAAAAATAATAGAAGGAAAATAAAGCTAGGAAGAAACCCCTTTATAAAATACACAGAAGTTCAAGCAACAATTTCATTTATTGCAGACTGTGTTTAGGGAAACATCCCTTTACTTGGTACTGTTATTTCCAGTGGGCCTATTGAAATAAAATCTATAATCCTCATCTTGAGATATAAAAACATGACTGGTTTAAATGGAACTGGTCATGTTGGCAGTTTTTTTCAGCTTACCTTTACGTCTCTCCTTTTTTATTACAGCACTTTGCTGTAAATTAGCAGTTTGTGCTAAATTGGTTACAATTAATATTGCACTGCTCCTGTTACCAATAAAAAGATGTATCATAAATAATTTTTATGTGTTTTTCTCAATAGGTGGTAATGATGCAGTGGATAAGCAAAACACCGATGAAAGTAAGATCCAGAGCCAAGAAGCAGGTTTGTACCCAGCTCCTTAAAGGCCTGTCTTAGGCTCTATCCACTTTTTGAACAACACCCTTAGTCAGTGCTTTTGAAGGGGAATATTTGTACATTTTCACCAGATTAGCTCATGTCTTGAGCAATTCTCCCATTAACGACCAAATCTTCGTTCATTATGAATGAATGTGTTGCAGAGCAGGAATGCAGACCCCTCTCAGCTTACCAGCTCTACATTCTCCCTTCAAATTGCCTAATCTAGGTAATCCTCTCACAAGGAATAAGTATTTTTTTCCCCCTCTGCATAGAGTAGGAATGAGGGGAAGAAATTTGGGGAAGGAGGAAGCAAGCAGGAGGCTCCTTCTGATGAAAACTCAACTCCTCATATTTTTAAAGGGTATTTTCAAAAATATTTAAAAAATTGTCTACACAATGGTTACGAAGATTTAAATCCATAGAGAAAAATATTGCATGTGCTGTGAGTGAATGTCAGGGTTCACAAGTGGTGGGTTTTGCAGGTGACATGCTTATAAATTATGGAGTTTAGTGTGTTGGAATAGAGTGTCACTCCATGTTCACAAGAGATGTTTTTTTTCTGTTTATGGTTGTATTTTTCATGCTCCACAACTCTATTCCTTGCAAGAGACAGCTATGAATTGACAGAATGAATTAGCTACCAAAAGACCTGAAGTAGAAATCAAAATGTCTGTCTATTCCCTTATTTCTTAAGTATTTCTTTAACTGTAATATGACATGCAGCACACTGCTTTTCTCATTTGGTTAGGATTTTTTTTCCCATTGGAATGCAGAACGTTCCCTAAACATATTTAAACCAGAGAAAGCGGTTTTCTCTGGAAATTCTGGAGCTGAAGGTGGTTGGTCAGCAAACACAGCAGATACATTTAGAAGGCTTGGATTCCTGACTTAATTGATTTGCTTCCTGTATTGTGGTAATGAGAAGTCCATTGAATGAGGGTCTTCTTTTCATCCTGTGCATTGGCCACGGTGTAGGTAGAAGGGCAGCTTTTCTCCCTGCCTTCCACAGGTCACTGTTGTACAACTGAGTGTTAACATCTGATGTTGCCTGTATGTGCTCAAAGTCCTCCTGTGTTTCAAGCCTTTTTTGTCACCTCTTCTGTGTGTGCCTAATGTGGGGCAGGCAGCGGGAGGTGAAGCCAGAAACAAAGAGTATTACAGAATAAAATAGATTCCCATGGACCTCAGCAGACTTTATCCCCCACAAGATAAGTGCATGATGGTGTTTTGTAAGTGTGGGAGGGCAACCACATATGCTTCCCTGTTTTTTTCATTTTCATACTAGTTGTATTTTAAACAGGCCAAGGGGACCAGGGAGAAGAATGAGTTATTCTGTGTGAATTGAGATTCTGTTTCAAATCTCTGACTAGACTGGGGCATATCTTTTTCCAAGCAGTTCTGAGCTTTTAACTTTACCAAGTACTGCTTGACTGCTAGCTCACCTAAGAGCTAATACTGCCTGGAGCTCCTGGCTCCAGTTGCAGAGATTCCTGTTAAACCTGATTGTAGCATCTGCAGATGCCCAATACAGCCCACTGTGCTTGTCAGTCATCAGACAGTCACTCTGATGGGGTGAGTACTTCAGTTTGATTGAATAAAATACTCTTTTTTTTTTTTTTCCCCAAGAGAATTAAGGAATGTTTACCTCTTGAAACTACCACTTTGCTACTGTAGGTGTTATAAATGCACTATGCTTTTCCCAAAACTCCTTGTTACGACTTGTTACAATATGAGCTGTCAGAGCTGGTTTATCAGAGCCATGATATACATTCTTTTGCTATCTTGTATTGGTACTCATGTTTCATTATTCTCGTGGAGAGTGTCAAAGAAATGGTCCAGACATCTGAGGTCCCAGATCCAGAAAATGTCATTTAGGAACGTGGTTTAGGTAAATGCCTCAACACAATGTCATTCCCACTCATAGCCCAATAGTCACCTCCTTGGCCACAGGCAGATGGTGTTGCAGAAAAGAATTATTTGGCTGAACAATTTTCCCTCCTGGTTTACATAGTGACAGGAACAGAGAGGGCCACAGTTACCTCAAGTTAGTTACATCCACTTAGTGAGTCTCTGCTGCTTTCTGCTCTGTGCATTGTGGAGACAAAGCATCACCAGGAATTTTGAGGTTGCTGCTTTTGCACCCTTTCTTGGCAGTGGAAAATGACCTGATTTTCCATGATTTCCACACAGTTGTGTGCCTAGAAGATTTCTATACACTACAAGTGACCACTGTTAGGAGCAATCCCATCAAAAGTTAATGTTATTTGTATTATCTAAACCAAAAGGCATAAACTTCCTCTGAGTGTGACAAATCATATGCTTCAGTATTGTAAAAGAAAATGTAGGACAAAAAATTGATGCTCTATTCTTACCTGGTCCATTACATAAAGATTTGTATATTCTCATTATAGTGAAAAATATCATCATATTATAGAGAAAAATACACGTTATAAAAAAAAACTATAGTAGTGGAAAAAACAGTAACAGTTTGAAATGACTGAAAATTTTAAGCTGTGTGGGGTTTATTTAAAGTCTGGCCTCCACTCTCTCATCAATGAGCTTCACATGGAAAAACAACATGGCAGGTGGTTCTGAGATCTTGTTTCAATCTAATTAAAAGTACTAAAGGGCTATATAAGGAATAAAAATTGTCAGCATCATCAACAATAAGTCTTTTGAAAGAAATTAAAGTCTAGAAATTGAAACAAAAGCTTATAAATATTTTAGAACTATAAGAATTAGCAAGAAAAATCAACAGGGAAAGTGAGAACGTTTTATTAAGTTCAGGTACCAGTTGTATCTATTAACTACAATAGTTTTACCTGTGTGCTCTACTATTAAAAAAATTCCAAGCTGCAGATTTTTAGGGACTTTCTAATTTCAGGCCTGAATCATGAAAGCTTCTATTTTCAGGAAAGCATTTGGATTCCAGTGGGATTCATGGACATGATTCAATTAAGAATTAATTAATTGTTTTTTTCTCAAAATATATGGATTAAATGAAAAAAAGAAATCTCAGAGTGAATAGAACTCCACCCTACTCATGAAAGCAATAGCCGTTCCTCTGTCTGTATTATGAGAAATTGAAATACAGATTTGATCTGGCTGTACTGGAATGTTAGTTTACATCTTGCTTAGGAAAGACTATCAGACCAGTAATAGCCAGTGAATGGATGGAAGCCCTGTAAATGAAATTCAGCTCCAATATCTTGTCTCTATAAGGCTTTTTTTTTTTCAGTAAAGTGCTTCATCAGTTTTCTGTTCAATGAATAACTTCTCTTTCATTTCCTTTGTTCTTATAGGTGAAACAAAACCTTCATCTGTAGCCAGCCTATCATCAGAAGACATTGAGCTGAGTGAGAATAAAGGTACAGATTGGAAATTATGTTTTGAAATATCCTATCCCAAGAGGACATTTCATAAAACTGTTTTTTTCCCTTGTCTGGAAACAGCCAAAATCACATTTAAACAATACATAAATAGGTAAACACTTGGATTTTCATTTACCAAAGGCTTTGTAATACAGCTAAGCATGCACATCTATCTCAGCAATATCAGCTCCCTGTTCAGTGCTCTCATGATGCAGGAAAAGAAAAACACAATAGCTATAAACACATCAGGAGGAGACAGGAGGAGATGAAGTCATAATAGAGAGGCAGAAAGTAATGTTTATCTTGTGCAGACTGTGCTGGGCACTCAGTTTAGTTTGTAATAAATATTTAAAAGTGTCACAGGGCCAAATGACAGGAAGTTTAGGAAACAAGAGAGATTATCTAATTTAAATGTTTCAAGCTGAGATTGTTCCTGTGGAGTTGCTGGTTTACCAACAGATAGGAACCAGTTCTTTGATATTCCTATAATAATCATGCTATTAGTTGCTTATGCTGGTCTACATTTTTTAGCATTTTTGTGGGGGTACATCAGGAAAAAGTCCAGGTGTTATACAAAATGTTTGCTACTGGTAATCCAAAAGAGGAGTTACGCTATCTATAACAAATACAATCCATCAGTATGGCCTTCAAGAAAGACTAATAGAAAATTTTCATGCATTTTACTCAGATAACATAATTATTAACATCCATTAACTTATTTATTTTAAAAGATTTAATGTTTAATTCAGCATCACTACTTGACTCTCTTTTCATTTTTCTAGATAAGTGTGACAGGGTGTGAGATCCTGCCCTTTTGTTCCAAAGCTACATGCTGGACAGCCCACATACTTACCTGATTATGAGTTCAAAGCCCTTGTGCAGGTTGATTTAAGTGCTCTTTTAACAGATTGATTTATCCTGCAAAGGAAAAAAAGAACCACAAATCTTTGCAGGAGCACTGGCTTTTGCTTTTGATACATCACAAATCGTAGCTGTAGCAAGGGTGGTGGAAGGCAGAAATAGTGATGGATTCAATCCCAGCATGGTTGGTGATTGCCTGTCATTAGTTTCTCTTGTTTTGATGACATTTGGCCTGTTTATGTATTCTGTTTCTGGAAGAATCCCCATTTTATGTGTTTCACAATGTGAGGGTCACAG